GTCTGCTTCTCCCTCTGACCCTCCCCCCTCTCATGCTCTCTCTATCTCATTCTCTCTCTCAAATAAATAAATAAAATCTTTAAAAAAAAAATAATTACAGATTTTTCACGTAATTATCATCCCCACAAAGCTCTGTGAGGGCAGAAGCTGTTTCTGTTTGTTCCCACTATAAATCCAATGCCCAGCACAGTGCCAGGCATATATGAGGTTCTTATTAAATGTTTGTTGATTCTTTATCGTTTTTTTTTTTCACACTTGTATTCAATCTCCTCCTGTTGCAAAGAAGCTTCACATTTGTTTTAGATATTTTGTTCAAACCCAAACACATAGTCTACCACAAGAGGAACCTTTTTCTCAATGTGAAATCTGGAATGGAGCTGGAAAATGGAAAACAGGTTCGAGTGGATCTATTTGGATTCCTTCAGGGGTCTTTAAAAAAAATCACTGGTTTATAGAAATATTTACCTTCAATATTAAAAACTTCCATGGGTGTCAGAAAAACTCACATCAGTATCACACAGATCTACATTTACCACATTCCATCTGGATTCATCTAAACATTACCTCTCCAAGAGACGATGATTCTTTGGGGGTCTGACTGTACTAAAAAAAAATTAACTGTTCAGGGAGAAATAGAATTTAACCTGGCTGATGTAAAACAGTCCCTTCAGAAGCTTTTGTCGAATGCGCAAACATATCTTTAAACAGATTCTTTTTTACAGGTTTCCCTCTTACCTGACTTCCACAGTGTACTTGTTTTCTTTGGTCACAGGAGAGTTAAAGGTAGGTGCCAAACTTCTAAAATTTAAGAGAAGAATATAAAACTCAAATAAAATAGAACTTTACGTCATGCGCTAGTTTTTTTTATATTTTGAGTCAACTATTAGAATTACAAGGTAGAAAGTGATAACCTTTCTTTATGAAACAATATACTGACAGTTCTCCTCTATCCACTGATAATTTTTCATTCCTTTCCTGATTCCTTTTTTTTTTTGCCTTAACACATTCACTGTTGGTGTGCCACCAGCCTCTCCTTTGTTCCTTACAGACTCAAAACCAAAGGAAATAGATCTCCTTGCACCGTCATTCTGGTCTTTGTACTTTACTCCTGGCTGATGGTGAACCATGTGCTATTGGAAGTTCAAACCCCACTAATAACTAAACATATTCCAATTGCTATCTTCCCCCTAAGCCCTCAAGTCTTGAACTTCCTTAACCCCATCAGTGTCCATGATTCCTGTCTGTATCTCCTTCTCCTTTGCCTCTTCTTCACCCAGTTATTGGAACTCTATTCCCTCAAATCCTGTCCACTCTTCCCATACAGTTTGTCTTGCAAATTATCCTCATCCCTTGTCACTGCCATGATAACCATGGCTGACAGCTGGATCATCTTACACACACACACCTCTCTTCTCTCCACTCAAACACCCACATCATGAATCATCCTTCCCTGACACATCTCCTACTGTTCAGAATATATTGGTGGCTCATAATGGCTCCCACTGCCATCTTGCCCTCATTGATGACTTATGGTTATGTCCTTGTTTTTCTCTTCCGTTTGAGAAACCAATCCACCATCATTTATATAACATTGGATCTTTTTCTCTTCTTACCCAAGTCATTACGCCATCTCTACCCTACCTGCCTGTCAGCAAAATAATGCAGTTCTCTGGAAAGTGCCCCTCCAAGTTCACTTCTGTCAACCTCTTCCAAAATAATGCCCTTAACCAATGACCCTAGTGATCCCCACAGGCCCTTTCATCTACGGTGCAGTGTGTACCTACATTCAAAGATTTCTCTACATATGTAAAATCATTTGTTTATAGATTTCAAACTTTTTGGGATCCTTAACCATGCTTTCTACCTCTGAAATTCCACTCAAAGAAGGGTATATAGTACTCTACAAGTACTGAAGACTTAGTAAATAAGGTTAATAACCTAAGTCTGAAACAAAACTTCATTTCCAAATATGTGCACTGCATAATGATACCCACCTTTTCACCTTATTTTCACTACTTTTGACATTGCTCTGTAACAAAAGAAAATGAAAAACAATTGTAGATGATTAAATCAATTATCTTGCTTTATCTTGTTCTTTTTCCTCCTGTACTTCTGGATGGTTCTGTGACATTTTTTTTTTTTGGTCCGTTAGATGAACAGCCTCATTAAGTTGTGTACTCCCATCAAGCCCTGCTTCTCAGTTTACTTGGCTAGATCAATGTTCTCATCTATTCTAGCAACCAGACAGATAAGGCAGGGAGGACAAAAAAGCAATCGGGGCAAGTTCAGCAGAAGCACTGGGTCTCAACAAGAAGGTGTGCATCACAGTTCTCCACAGTGCTAAAGACACAGATGGAGCTCAGGGATCCAGTCTAAAATAATTCCCCAAGTGTTTCTTATCTGGTAACCGGCTAAAAATGGCAATGCTAAAAAAAAAGAAAAAGAAAAAATGGCAATACTAATAATTTCATTTTTAGCACAAATTAAATTTTAATATTTAGCAAAAAAAAGAGGAATCTTCAATATATCTCAAAAATGAATTTCACATAGCTATTCTTTATTCATATTCACTTTTATTCTGGTAGGTTTTGTAGTATTACCAATTTGAATACGTTGACACTGAGCAGGGAGCATCAAACTAAGAGTTTTTGAGCTCATACCACTTCCCACTGTATAATGACTATAGTATATTAATTTAGCCATTCTGTCAAATGACAATGTTTCTTAAGTCTCCTCCTGCTACAAATGAGGTTGCAAGAACACACTTACATATGTTTCTCTGTACATACATAGGAGTGCTTCTCTAGTAGACATCCCCAGGAATGGAACTGCTTGAAGGCATGGCGTGCACACCCTCCGCTTTGCTACATATTGCCAGACTGTCTCCACAATGGTTGTACCAACTTATACTTCCACCCGCAGCATGTAGTAGTAGTAATTGGAATACAGCTGTGCCGATGCTTAGTATTGCCAGACTCAAATTTTGCCATGGTGATGGGTTTAAAAAAGGTACCTAACTGTTGTTTTGATTTGCATTTTCCCTACTACTATGCAGTAAAGCATCTTTTCATATTTTTGTTGCCCATTTGGGTATCTCTTCTCTGAACTGTCTGTTCAGATCTTCTGTACATTTTTCTGAGTTGCTTTTCTTTTTCTTATCGATTTGTTTACAGTTCATTATAAATAGGGCACTTACGTAACACTAATTGTCACCACAAAAATTATCTGATTTTTAAGTTTAGTTCTGATTTTTTAAAACAGGAGCAGACTATATTAATGGACATTTTAAGTAGTGTCCAGCTGGTAGAAGATAAGCAAGATCACAGGAATATATGAAAACATGAAGGTGAGTAGGGAGAGGAAGATGGGAGTGAAGAGTGGAAGAATTTTGCAAGTGAGGAACAGGGGTTAATAGAGAAAGGAGAAAGCCAAAATGCTGCCACATATTAATATGAAATAAGAATGCATGAGATAAAAGTAGAAAAATTATGGTTGAGTACTGAGGCAATTTTTAAATGAAGAAACACAATAGAGAAAAAGATCATCAGGAAGCTAGAGGCTAATACTATACCAGAGGAGATGAAGAATTGTTTATACTGTTGCTGTTACAATTTCCTTCTGGTGCATTTGGTGAGAAATCATTTTCAAGTGGTGATTTAGAAGCACTAGAAGATAAGGGGATAATTATTAGTTTGTGAATTCTGCCTATTTTTTGTTGATCAGAATTTCTTTCTCTAAATTCTCCTTAAACATTAAACATTTTCATAAAAATGTGCTCTCAGGCAGCAATCTGAATTTGTTAAATTATCACAGTTGTTTGTCCACACTTACGATATGCTTTTCACCAAAGTGTTGTTTCCTGAATTACTAGGTGAAGTAGTCCAAGAATCACTTGATAGTGAGTCATCTTTCTGAAAGAAAGAGTACCCCTTAGGAGTTTTAAGAGCAATTACATTACTTCTCCATACTGGCTCAGTCTCTGTGTGCTAACTACCACATTTATTTATGGATGCTTGATCTGGATTTAAAAAACAACCCTGGGGGCACCTGGGTGGCTCAGTTGGTTAAATGTCTGCTTTCAGCTCAGGTCATGATTTCAAGGTCCTGGGATCGAGCCCCACCATCGGGCTCCCTCCTCAGCGGGGAGTCTGCTTCTTCCTCCCCCTCTCTTTCTGCCCCTCCCCCCAGCTCATACTCTCTCTCTCTCTCTCAAATAAATAAAATCTTAAAAAAAAAACCAATCCTGAGTTGTGAACAGAATTTTACTCTCTGGGGCCTCATGGCCCCATGGCTCATGGCTCATTGGTGAAACACAGAATGGAGGAATCCTTTTGCTATGTGATTGGTTGTCTTGGCATCATCTAAACACAGTCTTACCTCAAATCAACTTCAGAAAGAATCTTAAAATTTAAAAGTGAAATCCAAAGGCATTTCATACCATTAAGGTTTTCTCTGATTGTATCTGCTCATATGCAAATTTAGCAGCCATCTGTTTTGCCTCCTGTTTGGTAGCACCTCCACCAACAGCATATTCTTTCTGCCCAATTTTGCATCTATAGTAAAATCTAGGAGAAATGATAGAGAGTATTTACCCAAATACCAAAAAAACCCAGTAAATCTAACTTAGGATTTGGAAACAAACACAGATGAACAAAGACCTTAATATAACCCTAATTTAATGGGTACATTTAGTTTGTATCTTGTAGAATATAAATCTCTGATAAGATGACTGACCAATTTGCCAAAATAACCAGGATAGCTTGATGTCATCAGCTTGCATTTGTGTTAGGCAAGGAACCTCGGACAATTATATGAGAACTCTACTGAATATGGAAAAGCAACGTGTATCAGGGAGTTACTATGCATTAATTCAAAATTATTCCAGTGTTATTTGCCATGGAGGCAAATACACCCAACCAGGGTTGAGTCTTCCCTGCTGGGCCCTGAAGGCAGGATTAGATTGAGTGGCTGGGTGGTTTCTACAGCTCCTATTCTCCCGGGCACCCCTAAGTAGACTTCTCTCTTTTAGGTAACTTACGTTAGAGTGTTTAATCCCCAGGAACCAAACAGGTGAGCTACGAAAAAATAGCCTCCTACTTTATTGAGATCGACTCACACAATTCACTTTGGACTATTTCATGCCAATGAATACTCTTCCGTTTTCCTCTTCCTGGTTCTGGCCTAAAAGCCATCAGAGCTAAAAAGTCCATAACTGAGTCAATTCAGAGGACAGTATTCTGAAGGGGTCATTTGGACTATTTGCCATTTAGATTTTTCTCTCTCTCTCTCTCTCATTCACTGGGTAGGTTGTAGCCAAGAAACAATCTCCTTCAGGCTCATTTACTTTCTGCTTTTCCTAGTTCCTATCCATTCTTATCTCCACTTCCAAAATCTTGGCAACTCTGAAGCTCTACTCCATCCCACCCTTTATAATCCTTAAATCTGGGTCTCCTCACAGCCTGTGGCTAAAACCCATTTCTTTTAAGACCTGGTATTTGTCTAGAGAGTGACACCATTTAACTGAATGTGAAGGACAAACACCTAGACAAACGGCTCTCTAATCTGATGATGGTGAAGAGAGAGTCATTTTATCTACACATGTGGTCCAGTCATTGTCATACAGAAACTCCCACTGTGATCTGTGGGAGGGAAACATCTCCACACACACACACAAACCCCCAGCAGGGGCACCCCATTCTCTCTTCGGTCTCCTGCAGACTAAACCATCCAGATATACCTCAGAAATAAAGGATTCCCCAGATTTGATCCATTATGGTATATGGGTCCCAAGTCTTCAGCAATTAAGCATTTTCATATTTTAATTATAAAGATGACCAGTTGTGTATAAGTCATATAAAACCTTCCATGCAAAAGGTCCCCAAAAGGAGGACAAATATTTCTAGAAAATCAGACATGAAAACAAGCCCGTTCTATTGCTTAGATACAATGAAATAGAAGGAAAAGCTGAACTACATCTCACCTTTCTGGCCCATATTCTTTCAATTCACATTGTTCATAATTTACAGATAGTTTTTCCTTCTGGGCAAGCCTATTCATACGGCCTATGAAATTCTCAAAGGATCCCACTCCTAATCCTTCTGAAGTATCTGTTGTCAGTGATAAAGAACTAACTGCCTACAAAGAAAAAAAAATCTTGTTTAATACAGATGAAAACAAAGATTTAACCATTTTATTTCCTCTAATAAAATTACTAAATGAATAATTTGAAAGACAACTTAGATTTTATGTATTGCCCTAGTCTACTACCTTGAGTAAAAGTCTAAGTATATATCTTTTTCTACCATAAAAAATCCACAAGAAAAAAGGTTAACAATAGGAAAGGAACCATCCTTTTATAGTTTTCTATGGAAAAACAAAATAGTGAACTTTCTTGTTTATCCATGCAAAATACTCTAACACTGTCTAGCTCACTCCACCCTTTGTAAATCTCAAAAAACAAGATAACCAATATTGAAGTAAAGCTATATCCTGGATCACACCTTATGGGGAAAGAGGAATATAACAGCACCATTCCTTCCATTCTTATCTGTACCTTTTTCCTAATCTGGCAAAAGCTTGTCCAAAGTTTTTCTACTTTATTAATCTTGTCAAAGAACTAACTTTTGGTTTTATCGACCTTCTTTATTGTTTCTTAGTTTTCTTTTACATCAATGTTGGGCCTTGTTATTATTTTCTGTCTTCTGCTTTTTTGGGGAAAGGTAGTCTATTGTTCTCCTAACTTCTTGACTTGATTTTCTGGCTCATTAACAATTCGTGAGTTTGCAATTTTGCCTGATTTACTTTCTCCAATTTGGGTTAAAAGGGTGACATCATCGAGGAAGATTTTTCAGGAAAGTTATCTTGAAAGTCAATGTTTTCAAAATTTTCAATATCTGAGAAACAATCCTCTTTGGTCCCACATGTAAACGACTGCTTGTCTCATTTTACGGCCAGTTCTCTGCTATCCCATGGTTTAAAATGATGCTGTGGACAGCATGACTTTTTTTTTCGTTTTTACATTTTGAATAATTTCCTTTTTCTGCCTCGATGCTTATAGGATTTTTTCATCATCCCTAGAGCCCAGGACTTTGCCAATGATCAATGTTCTTGGAGGCTCTGTGTTTTTCTCTATCTGTTGAGTTGCTTTCATCTGCATTGAGGTCTTCCTTTATTTCAGAAACACTTTCTTTCTTTTTTTTTTTTTTAAAGATTTTATTTATTTATTTGAGAGAGAGAGAAAGCATGAGGTGGGGAGGGTCAGAGGGAGAAGCAGACTCCTCGCTGAGCAAGGAGCTGAATGCGGGACTCGATCCCGGGACTCCAGGATCATGACCTGAGCCGAAGGCAGTCGCTCAACCAACTGAGCCACCCAGGCGCCCCAGAAACACTTTCAACTGGAATCTCTTCAGATAGCTTTCTCTGTACTCTTTACTCTGTTCTCAGCCTCCAGGATACCAATTCCATGAATGCTGGTTTTCCATCACCTGTCCTGCTCATCCATCATCCTCCCCATGGTCTTTCCATCTCTTTGTCCTTTGTCCTTCCTCCCCACTGTCCTTCCATCCCTCAGTCGGGTGCAGGGACTCCTGCCAGAACTCGTCAGCTCATTTCTCGCTGTTTCCTTTCCCGTTCACTCAACTTCAGAGGTGGTCTCTACTGCTGGCACTCTAAATGGGTATTGGCAGGCTTTGCCCACTACTTCTTAGATGAACCTCTGACACAGGGCTCTACAGAAATGGAGATGGAGGAAAAAGACTGTACTTCTGAATGGAAAGAACCTGTGAATGGCTTTACTCTGTGGGTGTTTTCTCACAGAGTAAAGTTAAAAAGGGCATTAACTCACCTTGCTTTCTTCATTAAGTTTTTCAATAGCTAATTTGGCTGCAGCATTTTTGGCCTCCTTCTTTGATTTACCTTCTGCTTCTGAATATTTTCTCTCATTTATGGTAACTTGAAATGTAAACCTGATTACAAAGACAATATTCACAAAATGTTATAAAACCCATGCATTGTCTAAGGCCAAGTGTTCCAGTCACACTGCCTCCTGTGTTAAAACCTGACTAGGTTTTAACCGGCTCAGTATAGAATTTAAGCAGTTACCCTCAAACAGCAAAACAGCACATCATCTTCACTCCAGAGCTAAATTATTGACTTCTAAATTGTGTCAGAGTTGCCATTCTTCTAGTTCATATTTTATAGAGATATACCTTTAAAAAAAACCCAGCAATTTGGGGTGCCTGGCTGGCTCAGTTAGTACAGCATGCAATTCTTGATCTCAGGGTTGTAAGTTCGAGCCCCACATTAGGTGGAGAGATTACTTTAAAAAAATCTTTTTAAAAAATAGCAATTTACTTTAAGTTATGCGCAGGTCCTTCCTTAGACAGTTCATAATACCTAAGTACCAAGCTGTGCTTCTGACAGTATGTATTAAGTTCCTCTATAGAAAAACTTGGTGGACGCTCATTGGCCATTTCTTCTAGTAACCTAGAACAGAAGAGATGTTTGAAAAAAGTGAGACATAACATATTTAACCTGATTATCCCAATCCAGTGTAGGAGACAAAACAGGATAAGAAGAATCTTCTTTATAAGACTCATCTCAGCCCCACATAAATCCAGAGAAAACTTTCTTACAAAATCTTTTTCTCTCATGATCTGCACACCAAGCTAATTTCTCCAAAACTTTCTATGTTCAAAACTCAGCTGGCCAAAAAAGGAAAAGGGTCTTTCTCTTCCACTCTGCTCTCTGCTTCCAGTGAGGGTCAGGGACAGGTTTATCCACCTGCTTGAACTACACAAGTAGAATCAGAACTCTTCATGTTGAGAAGAATAAGGTTGAGAGTACATACGTAAAGTGAAGTTTATGAAATCATTAAAGATTTCACTATACAGAAACAGATTCCCCTATGAAATCCCAAAAATCTTCCCTTTAAAATTTGCATTAGTCAATTATAGATAAATTTACCTGGGTAAATTATGACCCCAGTTTATGGGTCTCATTAGACCAAGAGAGTAGCAATGATTTAAGTCATAATGAAAATCTAAAAAATACAGAATCTAAATATAGGAGCCAAAACTATAAAACTCTTGGAAGAAAACATAAGGGTAAATCTTCAGAATCTTGGATTTGGCAATGGAATCTTTGTGATGACAGCAAAAGAAAAAAGATAGATTGGGCTTTATCAAAAGTAAAAACAGGGGCACCTGTGTGGCTCAGGTGGTTAAGCATCTGCCTTCAGCTCAGGTCATGATCCCAGCATTCTGGGTTCTCTGCTCTCTCTCTCTCAAATAAATAAATAAAAAAAATCTTTTTTAAAAAAAGTAAAAACATTTGTGTCACACAGGACGCTATGAAGAGAATGAAAATCTACAGAATGGGGTATCTATAATTCATATATGATAAGAGTCCAATATCCAGAATATATAAAGAACTTTTACAACCCCACAACAAAAAGACAACCCAATTAAAAAATTGGCAAAGGACCTGAACAGACATTTCTTCTAAATATTCTAGTGCCCCAGGGCCCTGTCCTTAGATCTCCTCTCTGCTCTACTAACACTCACTCCCCTCTAGATCGCCTCTAGACTTATGGCTTTAAATTCCACCTACACAATGATGGTTATCAAAAGAACACCTCTACCCCTGACTATTTCCTGACTCTAACTGCTTCTGTCCAATAGGCTGCCTCCCTGAAATGCTCTTGACTCTACCCCATCCACTGTCTTCACCTGATCAACTCTTATTTCCTATAGATTTCAGCTCAGATGTCACTTTCCAGACATCCTTGAAGAGGTCCTGGTTTGGTGTTCCACAACAGCTCTTGTCCCCTTTCCTGCAATTGCTTGTATAACTGACTGTCTTCCAAAAGAGACCATGAGCTACAAGAGGGACGGGGCCAGGCTGTTATAATAGGGGCTCCATAATCAATGAATGAATGCCAAAATATCTGCAGACCTCCCCCACCTGCATGACTTGTCACATGCTTTTCCCTTTGCTTTGAATGCAATATCTGCACCCTCTGTCCACCAGGCAACTCCCACTCATCTGTGAGGCTCGCATGTTTTCTTTGATGTTGGAGGGGCAGCCAGTCCTCCTCCAAGGGCCCACCACTGCACCTTGCCCAGCTCCCATAACAGCCCAGTCATTGAGCAATCTGGGAAGCAGGTTCTATGTCTTACTCATTTTTTTTTTTAAGATTTTTTATTTATTTATTTGAGAGAGAGAATGAGAGACAGAGAGCACGAGAGGGAAGCGGGTCAGAGGGAGAAGCAGACTCCGCGCCGAGCAGGGAGCCCGATGTGGGACTCAATCCCGGGACTCCAGGATCATGACCTGAGCCGAAGGCAGTCGCTTAACCAACTGAGCCACCCAGGCGCCCCTGTCTTACTCATTTTGTATCACCAATACCCAGTGGCAAGTAGTAAATGCCAAACACTTGGATGGTGTATAGGAAAATGAAAGAATGACTCATTAAAATGAAATACTCTACTTGAAACCCCCTCGTCTTCTCCCTTTTCTTCATCTGCTGCTTTCCGTGCGTCCTTTCTTCATTTATTCAATAAATGCTTCGCAAGTACCAGGCACTATTCTGACAATGAGTATACAGATGTGAACAGGATAAATTCACACCCGACCTGCATTCCACTGAGGGAAGACAGAAAATGACCATGCACAGAAACAGGTAACAGGAACGGACAATATGATGACCAGATGGCTGGAAGTGATATAATGAAATTAAATAGGGTGCAGCATAGAGGGTGAGTTGGTAGATAGGGGCAGAGATAAGGGGGAGGCGGTTTTAGACATAGTGGTCACAAAAGACCTTTCTTAGGAGGCAATTTTAAATGAAGACTGAATGATGAGAAAGTCCATCATATCAAGATATGGCGGAAGAAAATCTCAGGAACCAGCATGGCCTTTGAAGGGATAACAAAAAGATCAAGGGACTGCTGCACAGTGAGTGAGGGGAAAAGAGTAGGAAATGAGTCAGAGATGTCAGCGCCATGCACACAGACCTTGTAGGTCATGGTCGGAACCAGTGGATGGTGTTCCAATCACAACAGGAAGTTACCGGACATTCTCTAAGTAGAGGGGGTATGTGACTGGGTTTATGTTTTAAGTGATGACTCTGATACTATGTAAAGAACAGGGTCTGGGGGCAGGGACAGGTGTGGGCAGCGGAGCAGAGCACGAGCAGAAGCAAGGAGACCAAGCAAGGCTGCTGCCATGGTTTGGGTGAGCAATGATGGCGGCTGGAAGCGCGTGGTGGGAGTATCCAGAGTGTGAGCAAAGGCAAAGCCGTCACGTTACTGCTTAGTGTCGTGGAGACAGTCAAGCTTTAGAGGCCACACTGCTCTGGGCTACACCCTCTCTGAACCTTTCATTTGTGACCTGAAGACAGGAATAAAAACACGTGATTCAGAGGTGGCTGTGGGGAATAAATCAGATGAAGAGCACCCAGCAGAGTCCCCCACACCATTAACCCTCAATAGATGGTGCTCCTGGTCTGCACTTCTGAAACCCAAAACGCACTAAAAACTGAGGTTCATTTTGTTTTCATTTGTTTTGTTTTTGATAGGTTTGTAGCCCCCTGTCTAGACCTGGGCTGACATGAGCTATTTATAGTCTTTATGATACTTTGTTGTCCACGTATACATTTCACTACAGAAATTGTTTAATTATAGAGGGCTGCCCCCAAATCCTGCTGAGAGCATTCTATAATAGACAGGATTTATGCTGCCTTACTTTTCTAAAATCCCAAACTCTTGGAATACCAGAACATGCCCAAGGGTGTTTGAGAAGGATCTGTAGCTGTACCATTATTTTTAGGAACCAGTGTCATTTACTTCAGTTACAACCATGAGACCATACATCAGATTGGGAGGGGATCACAGATATCAGAAGAGCAGTTATGGAAGAGCCCTTAGCAATTAGAACCTGAAGTTCTATCAACTACTCTAAACCCTTGGCGCTTTTAATGTTAAGTAACTGCCGGTCATCAGAATGACAAGCCAGTTCGAATTTAAGTGAACTATATGTGCAAACTAAGAAAGTGCTGAATTAACATGTTTGAAAAAGTACTTCCAAGTCTGGAAAAAAGAAATGGCAGGCTTCTTTTCAACTACTGTCCATAAATCTTGTTTTGGGGCGCCTGGGTGGCTCAGTTGGTTAAGCGACTGCCTTCGGCTCAGGTCATGATCCTGGAGTCCCTG